ATATATATATATGTGCATGCGTGTATGTATATGTATATACAGTCGCGGCTATGATTTCAAGTCTGTAGCAAAACTCACCCACAGTAATTATGACGGTAATGCTTAACCAGACCTTCATTAACCTAGACAATTATCCAACTTTACAAATCAGGCAATAAACCTGTTGTTAATGAATTCAGTTCAAATGTTTTAACAAAATACAGACCGTCCAATATGATAGTTTTGCCTACATGAATTTTATCAACTTGGGGGGGGGATGTCTTTATTATTTTCTGTGGTGATCAGCAGCATGCTTAAATGGTATTTTTACACAGAATGTTCTTTTAACTAGGCAAGGAGAATAAGTGTCGAAGCTTCATTGAAAATAAAAAGGTCGCTCTAGGGCTTTAAGAGTCAAAAGTTCTCTTTGTTTCTGTCTGTTTCCTCTCTGTCTTTCTAAAGGCCCCGAAGGAGCAAACTTGTTCATCTACCATCTGCCACAAGAGTTTGGTGATCAGGATTTGCTGCAGATGTTTATGCCTTTCGGCAATGTTATCTCTGCCAAGGTCTTTATTGACAAACAGACCAACCTTAGCAAGTGTTTTGGTGAGTTGAGCCCCCTTCCAGAAACATTGTGCTGGTTTTGTGTTGATTTTCGAGTTCTGAAATCAGAAGCAAGCTTTAGATGTGTGTTCTATGCAGTGGGTAACTAGAGTCTGGCTCTTTTGTTTTGTGTCAGGCTTTGTTAGTTACGACAATCCAGTTTCGTCCCAGGCGGCCATTCAGTCAATGAACGGTTTCCAGATTGGAATGAAGCGGCTGAAGGTGCAACTTAAACGATCCAAAAATGACAGCAAGCCATACTGAGTGATTTTACTCTCAAATGGACTTGGTTTGAAAATGTTTTTCTGGTAAGTGGAGTGTGACGTTGGAAAGTTAGAATGACCCCACCCACTCTTTAACACCCGCCTTTCCTAATCCTCCTTTTACTTCTCTGGCCTTTCCTACATATCTTCTCTCTTAACCTTCAAAACAAAGATAACATGCAAATTGTTAAGAATTTGTTCCAAGGAGTAAAGAGTTAATTTTAGTTTTCCACATTTATATATCTAATTGTTTTGTTGATCTTTTATTTACCTGTTTTTTTTTGGTGCCATATTACAAGTTTGCTGTGTATAAATCTTGCGTCAAAGGATGTTGCACAATGAAAGCCAGCCTGCGCGACTGCTTTCAGTCCCTTAGACTGTTGATCACCACGGTCTGGCCCCTGTAGATGTTCTCCTGTGTTTACGCTAGACTCTTGTAGTACATTGGGACAGTGTAATGCTGATGCCTCCTACAATGCTGCCTTTCTAGAAAATAAAGGAGGCTTGCTGCATCGGTGCAAAAGATAATCAGTCAGTCACCTGAATATTGTTTTGAGCATCTGGAAGGTCAGGCTGCACTCCACTAGACTCCGTTTTCATGGATGCCTTTTTATTTCATTCATGTATTTATTTCACTAATTTATTTATTTATTTTTAATGTATCTGTGTCTTCACAATGAGGGTGATGTAACATTGCTTCAAAGTCTGTTTTATGTATTCTGTTGGAGGGCTCAGCTAAAAACCGTAATGTTGATGCTTTCTGTTTGTTTTTATTCACATTCATATTTTTACATTCTAAAAAGACAAACACTAAGCAAGGGTATTATATCCCATGTGGTGGTTAATCATTCAGTATTGGTAGTTTGCAGGAGATGCTACACTTACTCTCAGGACATTCTCACCATTCTGTCAGACCAAAACTTCTCACCCATTATTCTACTCACCTGGTACGTGAACATTTCTAAAGAATATGTATGAAATAAGTGCTTCATTTCCATTCACGAATCCTTTCTTAAAGCCTCAAACAAAAACAAACCTTTTTTTGACCCAAGATTTTTGCTGAAGAATCACATGGTAGCACATATGGTTTTAAAATGCCATTTGTATAGATTTTTTTTTTTTTAGCAAAGACACAATCTACAACACAATTTTTATTTTGATGGTCATTTGATACATTATCCTACGCCTCAATTGAGGAGGTTGGCGTTGAAGCTTTTAGCAATATTTGCATTCTGGAGAAGAGTGAGAGACGATACTGCCAAGAAAAGAAAGAAGGAAGTTTGCAATTGCTGAATTCATGGCCGCTTAATTGTCAGAGTAATTTGAACGGAAATTTCCTAACTTTCGTGGCAATTTGTGTTCAATAAGAATTTAATCTGTGTTTGCAGGGGGTCTCTTGTACCCTGGTGTATGGAGACTCGTCCTGCAATCCTATTCTAGTTTGTAATTCTAAGTTACTCCATGCAACTTGCTTCAGTTGACCATGGCAGTAAATAAGTGTTCAGATCGTAATCAAATGTTAATGCCAATCTGAGTCCTGCAAGGTCATGAGGTAAGATTGTTTTTATGGAAACTTGAGAAGAAAACATTATCCAGATAGTGTATATTACTTAACTATTATGCCTTTTCTATTTTTATAGAGGTTTTATAATATTGCCTAAATAATTTCTCTGAATTAAAGCGCTTGTTTAAAAAAAAAAAATCAACTCAAAAGATACAACAGTGTTTTTGTAGAATCCTAATGTGAAGTTGTGTGGATATATTCACCGATTGTTTAAACAACGGATGTGTGGCCCTTTTCACTAGTTGTAGTGGCGTCTGTTTAGTAAAAAAAAAATAAATAAATAAAATAGTACCAAGAGTAGGTTTTTTTGTTTTTCCTTTTTAAGTCTGAAGCAAATCCACGGTTCAGTCTAAAGTTTATACTTCGTGTAATATCTCTAAACTAAGTACATCATTTACATGTGTTGTGACGAATGCTGAAATGTTATTATCAGAAGTCGTTTGTTTCATTTCCTCACAACATAACTTGAGCTCGGAGTGGCAGTTAGTGAAAATTGTAAATTGTAGACTATTTTCTTTTGTTTTGACATTTACCTCACTATTGTCGTCGCTGTTCGACACACTTGTATTTATTAACGGCGCTTTTTATTTTCACTGATTAATTGCGAATAAGCCAATTCTTGTTAACTTCACTATCTATTTTCAACGAGTGCAGATCTCAGTCCGGGTGAGGGAACGAGTGTGCCGCTGTCTGGCAACTTGTACAGAGATGCCGGTTTGAGACGCTTTAGACTGAACCCAGGTGTGAAGCCCCTCTTGAAGCGCTTAGATGCGAGTGCAGGAAATGTCCAGTCCCTGATCTGTGCCTCTGTTCAAATAAAAGCAGGATTTGCATGCATTACAAAACCATTAAGTGGAAGAAAAATGGGAGTGCAACACAAATCACCATTTTGAACGATCCAAAGATTCTTGTGAACTTGTTCTAGGCAGGGATTTTTGTTTGTTAGGCAGAATTTTTTCATAGTTTTGTTCCTTTTTTCTTTTTTTTTCTGGAGCAGATTGACTGGCGTTTGTGCAAAGATCTGCAGATTTGTGAGCCTTAAAACAGCTCACAAGTGCAGAGACGTTCCACTAATGTGCCAAACACATCGAGTCTTAAATTGCTGTATACGTTTAATGATGATACTCTGTTACGCGCTCTGTGTCCCATCATGTTGTTGTACTTCACGGAGTTCAATGTAGCTAAATTGTATCCATTTGTGTTTCCCATGACGGGTGTTTTGTGAACGAGAACAAATATGAGCAGCTCCAAATATGCATTATTCCACAGTCCCTCACAATTCAAAATTGAAGCACAAAATAAAAGGACTTTCACTGAAAGAGCTGAAACGTTGAAGCACAATTTTTCTTTTTGTTTCCCTCTCTTCCCCTTGGTCTAAAATCGAAATGCGGTTGTGAGAAATCGAACATTTTCATTTGAAATGTTGCTGTCGAGGACAGTGTTGTCGTAGCTGTAGTAGGCAGGTTGTGTTGTCTCTCGGTGTTGTTGATGTTTAATGTTATTCCCTTTGTTCACTATTGGCATGGTGCTTATTCTTCCCACTTTTCTTCATCGTTTCCTGTGTTGCATTCAATGTTTTGTGTTTAGATGATGTGTGCACCTTCGAAAGCCCCCTCCTCATGCAAACATAATCATTCATGATTTTCTTTTTCATCCCCTCTCCTTTTTCCGTTGTGCTTTAACCTAGGTTTGTTATTCGTTTTTTTTGTTTGTTTTTGTTCTAGATATCTTCGTGCCCGTTTGTCATCGTTTGCCTAGCATGTCGATGTGACGTCAAAAGTTCATCGTCCAGTCCGTTGTCCTCTTCGCTTCTCTGACGCTTGAAATTTCACACTTGACCTTTTTGTTAACTTTTGACGCTTATTGATTACTTGTTTTGTTTGTTTCTTTGTGTGATGTTCATTTGTCATTTGTGCTGCCAATAGGGAGCGTTAGAAAGACTGCTAAAAGTGTAAAACGTTTCATGAAAATTGTTCTGAGCAAAGAGTCTATTTTTCTAGAACGTACAAACACTATAACCACTAGATTTTTGCAGAAGCTTTTAATTTTTCAGATTTTGTTCTTTATTGATTTTTATTGTTTTCCAGCAGTCTTCCTAGCGCTTCTGATTGTACTCCTTTTTGGTTTTCTTCTCAAAGCAGCCATTCAGTTTATAGAATCACTTTTGTGTGTTCAAGTGTGGGTGTGTTTACCTCTTTCTCTCACTTGTTAGTTCTAAAACTTTTAGAGGATGTTTTCGTCACATTTTGCTGAAATCGAGGATAAACGTTGTAATTTTGTGTTAGGTTAGTTGGCATGATGTAATTTTGGGAGTTTCTATAAACAGAGTGACATTACAATAGACACTTGAATTGCCTTTTTTTCTTCTTTGTGTGTCGAGCCAACACAGGCACATGTTTTTCATTTCCTTATTGTGTGAAAATCAGGATTAGTCTGAAATAATGCATAGAATGAGCAGAGTTGAATATCTTGTCACAGGTAAATATTAAGCATGCATGTTTTTTTGTAAGTGCACTGAAATCCTCAGCAAAATGTGATCTAGTTCTGTTTCAAAAATTCAAGATGAATAAAGTGGTGCCAAAAGTTTTGCATGTTGCTGTTGGTTACATTTACAGTATGTTTCACATCATGCTTATGGCTCGTGCTGCAATGACATGTGGTCTCATTTTGATGGTTTAAGATTTAAAAAACAATACAGTGTGTGTTTAGGTTATGGGTTAAAGTGAGTTTTAACAATGTATTGTTCTAAAAATTGAAGTGGGTTTCAAATGAGTCCTTAGAGATAAATTATGCCTACAGCAGCAAAAACACATGCTCTTCTTGATGTTGTTCAGTTAATGAAAATGTGTTACGACCTTATAGCTGGTCTGTTTTACAGAGCTTGCAAGCATTTTTTTTTTCTTTCCCATTCTGACATCTGTATAAGTTGTGACGTTCTGGACTGATTGGTAGAGCTCAACTGCAGCTTTGCCCCCTTAGCCTTTAGTTTACAGGCATATCTCCACAAATGAAGAGCTACATTTGGAAGTTTTTTTTCTCTCTCTTTTTTTAAAAGATGTATTCTGACAGACTAATCTATTCGGGGGTTGAGGTGGTTGTTTTCTATTTAGATTTTAAGCTGCTGTTTTGTGAGTTTAAATGTACTCTTTCCTGTGGGATGTTTGTCATTACTGGTACAGAGTGATTGTATTTAACATTTAAGATTTGTACAGATTTTTCTACTTCATAAGTTGTTTCACAATGTAAATCCCAGTAAGTAGAAGCATGAAGACAGTAACACCATGACCAAACATCAACCTGTACAAAGTAACCAAAATGCAAACAAAAATCAACTCCACAAAACAGCCTTTAAATAAAGATGTTTTTTTTTTATTAGTTGTTTTGTCATTTAAGTTGTGTGGTTTTTCATTGGAAGTGTAGAGAGTGCAGAATTTATTAAATGTCTGAAACAAATGTGTTGTAAAAGGTTGGTTAAGGATTTCACGCTACTGTCTCTACAGAAATATAGCAAAATGGACACCCATGAAGCAGGCATCTGGTCGTTTATCTTTAGTTTATGTATGATTAAACTGTTTGAAAACATTCACACACATTGTCTGAATTCATTTTTTCTGAATTTAAAGATGCCAGAAATGCACATCATGCTTCCGTTTTAATTAAAATGTGACACTAGAGTTTTTCAATCACATAATGACAATTCATGATTTACTACTCATTGTACTTAACCTAGATTTAAATTATTTATCCTAGTCAGTACTATAAATAAATATGCAATAGCTGCTGCTACAGCCAGATTTGTTGTAATTGGTTGATTATATATACTAGCCATAAACCAATCAGACAAATGCAATTTTTGTACACAATTGTTCAAGTTATTTTTTGCTTGTAGAGTCCTGTATTCAGCAAACTCAAAGCATGAAAAAGTTGAGCGTTCAACAACTGAAAACAATTCAAAGTGCCATTTACCCTTTACTGCCTCATCTGCAATATTACATTAATGAAGAACTGTGACAATTCAAACTTTACACCTGGTAATCTTAATGCACATAAAAAAAAATTTCATGGTACCAGCAGTTGCCACATCAACAAGGTAGTCATTGTTTATCATTTTTATATGACAGAAGTTAGGGAGGCCATATGTTGAACTACACTGAATTGCTCAAGTTCCACATCAGTAGGTAGAAATGAGCCGATTTACAAAATACAAAAAAAAAAAAAAAACTTTCTGTCCGTCAGTCCTGCACCTGTTTGGAAGGTAAGTGTCAGAGTTTACTATGGTTTTTGGAGGGGTTGTCCACATCTGTACCGAAGAGAGGAGACAGGTGTTTATACTTGGGTGTGATGTTCATTCGGACAGTTATTGAATATGGATCCTGGCCGACGATACGGTGCAGGTTTGCACTGTCCTGCTGGAGCTCTTCAATACTTTTCTCAGTTTTCATCACGCCGCCGCTCTTAACAGAACGGTCCACTTTTTCCGGGTACAGAGCATCCCCTATGTATTAATGAAGAGAAACATTGTTTGATAAAGAGGCGATAATTAGCAGAAATGTCTTAATTTATTACTTGACATAATTACCTGGTAAAATGCTTGCAAAGCAGTCAGGTGCCACCAGGTGAATAGGCAGCCACTGTTCGCAACCCTCCAAAGACCTCTGCCAGGCAAAGCGATGGAGATCTGCGAGAGCTGGACACCGGCACATGCGTCCAAGCTCGTAGAACTGAGGTGGAGCGATCCAGATCTCCTTTGATTTATAGCTGTGCAGCACTTCAGAGGGACTGGACCACTGAGAAACAAGGCAGTGTGTATTTCCCAAAAGTTAAGCATCATTTGTACTACTTAGGATGAGACTGAATGACTTAAAAGCTACTATAAAAATGTTATATTAAAGGGGTCATATGATGCGATTTCAAGTTTTCCTTTCTCTTTGGACTGTTACAAGCTGATTGTGCATAGATAAGATCCCTGAAGTTGCAAAGACAAGTCTCAAAACCAAAGAGATATTTTTTCAGACTGATGAGCTTTGTAAAAATCGACGCGTTTCAGAAGGCGGGGCATAGAGGAGAAACAATAATGTACAGTATGTGGAAAATAATGTGTTTTTTTTACTTTAAACCACATAAACACATTTGATTACACCAAATACACAAAATAATGTTCTTTTTAGCAGCATCATATGACCCCTTTAATGAATAACAATGACGTTACGTGACGTTCAGCCACTTGCGTTAAGTGGGCGCTGCCTAGCTGGCGAATGAGCTCTAGCCTCATGAATATTAATGAGCTCCAAGAAATATGCAGCACAACACTGAAAAAAGTCCAAGTTATTTCGCCAGCTGGACACAAATGGGTCGCGAATGCGTAAATTTATCAAATATACCTTCAATGCAACGTAAGGGTCTGATATGTAGTTTTTAATCTAACTGTCCAACGTGCTAATTACTGTTCAAAACGCACCTTGAAATGAACTATTTCCTTCTCGTCGTGAAGCGTGTGTGGCGTGTCGCGCAGACAGCAGATGTAGAAGGCTGTGTCGTAGCGCCTCTGTTTGCCGTGCATGCCTATGGGGGTCAGCCAGTTGCCCCACTCGTGTAGAGCCCAGATGTTGGGCAGACACTGCAGCTCCTTGCACATCTTAATAAAATTCGCCGAGTCACTAATAACCAGAGACCTCCACTTGGACAGCACGTCTCTGTCCCACAGTCCGCTCAGTGTGGTCAGGGTTGGCTGGGGGTCACTGTCCCGAGCATCATCTGTGCGCACGCGAATGCCGCTTTCCTCGTGTGTGGGGACCGCCAGGAGCACACCGGACTCCTCAAACGTCTCTCTCACTGCACATATCCTGAAAGCCACGTCTCCGGGGATCGGGGATCCCAGCTGCGCTCTGTCAGTGGCGAAAATGGGCGGCCTGGTCTCCGGCGGCTGCTTCACGACTCCAATGCCGTAGTTGGGCACTTTCGTGAAGGACTGAAAGACCTCCAGCCAGTCGCTGGAGAAGTCAGCCGCGTCCGCCAGCCCCCCGGGAAACACGTAGGCATTGGGCATGAAGCCGCTGCTGCCGCTCCGTTTTAGCAACAGCACTTGATAATCAAAGGCGGATCTGTGCGCTATGTCAGAGACTTTCTCCAGACCTGTTTTAAGAGAGTCCGCGCTCTGAGCGTGTCTCAGGCCGGCCGCCAAGATCACCGTCGCCGCCTCCCTCCAGTGTTTCAGCGCGGTGTTCATCCTGGCCCTCGCTTACTTGCTCACAGTTACTCCAGTGCCCTATCCCGGCAACTTTCGACTTCGGTCAACTAACTAATCACGAGATGATGGCGTGAAGGACAGCACAGAGAAAATAACAGTGCATAGTCTGTATTTGGTGATTGGCGCCATCTATGGCAAGGGATGAACGCTTGGTTTTCATAACTTTGACACATTCTTAAAGGGGTCCTATTATGCTCTTTTACAAAGTCTTGATTTTGTTTTGGGGGTGTACTAGAACATGCCCTCTCTCCCCAGCCTGGCACAAACGGCTCGATTAGTTCCGGCTTTGATGAAGGTCCGCCTTCCGAAAAACAAAACGTGTTGTGATTGGTTAGTTGTCCCAGTGGGTTGTGATTGGTGAACAGCTTAGACGGCGTTTCAGTACTGCCCATTGCTCCGTCTTTCAACAAAAGCTTTTTGGCGAATCTGGCACTACTCAGTATTTTTTTTTAAACGAAATATCTCCCTTTGGAGTGGACTTCGAGATTTGTAACTTTCTAGATCTTTTTTATGCCCAAACATACACACTACACACTGACTAAAATTTAAAAAAGTGAAAAAGCATAATAGGACCCCTTTAAATGAAGAACTTTTTTTGTCTCATAGGAGAAATGTATGCTAGAATCATTTGAATATATTGATTTATGATTTCAACCTTATTCAATGGTCACACATAAATAAGTCTATCCCAATAAGCACTGAGAAACGTAACGGGTATCGCATGACAAGTCTGGCAGTTAAAAATGACCTGAGTAATGTCCAACTTTAATAGCCATTGATTGAAATGAAAATACATAGTAAAGAGTTAAAATGTTAAAATATGTGATTTATTATTTAGACTCATCTAAGCATCGCTAAGGTATAAGTGCAACAGAATTCCACACGATTGTTTTAAGAATTCCGCTATATGGAGAAAATGAATGGGATTTTTAATTCCAGAACCCCACTGTTGCACTACAAGTAACTCTTTAATAGTCTGCTTAAGGATTTACATTACTACAATTCTTAATCTGCTGTGATTTTGAGTCTGAGTCTATTCATACACTGGGTTGTCCTAAAATCATTGTTTGAAAACATTTGTTTAGCATTCAAGGAAACATCATTTTACTTTGAATAATTTCTTTACAATTAATAAATTTCAGTTCAGTAAACTTGGAAAAATATCCTTGCTATTCTGTACAACAAACTTGCATATAACAACACACAATTATAAGTTAGATAAACTGTAAGTATTCCGAATTTACAGACGTTCATGGAAGTGTTGTGTTATTCTTTAAAATAAAAACATATCCCTGTGACCCAGGAAAGACTTGTAAAACAATGGCTGGTCAGGCATAAGAAATAATAATAAAATAAAAAATAAAAAAATCTGTCCATGTGCAGCCATGTTCCCTTTAAGGATCCTTTATCCACATTTCCATGGATCAGTGTGTGGTCCACTGCTGCTGGTTATTACATGTGTGACTCTTCCAGTGTGATATCTGTCACTCAGTCTTTTCAGGTGGAATGACTTCCAGTAGCAGCTGAAGGTGCATGGTGAGTGGCCCTGGAAGAGTCACGGTTCAAGTTTAAGAATTTGGTGTTGAACATGGGAAGAGATGCTATTTAATTATTAGCCATTCCTTAACTAAATGTTTTTGGTACTAGTGAACATCCACTAAAAACAACCTTAAAAGTAGGGTGACCAGGGGCCTCATTATTTTATAAATGAGGCCCCAGGTTTTTAGGATAATAGAGAGTTCAAAAATTGTATTTACTGTATACAGTATAGGCCTATTGACATTCTATGAAAATGAAAATATTAAATACATTTAGAATGTTAAAATATTTCTTAAATATAGTTTTATTTATCATATGTTTTCATATTCATTTTATTTTTTACTGTGTAAAGTCATAATTTTGTTAGAATACTGTTTTTATCTTTTTGCTAATTGCAATGGTTACTATTTACTATTTTTCACAGTGTGATTTTTGGTGAATTGTATTTAAACCAGGTATGTTCAGTTTGACCCACAAACATCATAAGAATGATTAATTATAGTATATGGAACCAAGAACAATTAAAAAAACAAAACATACAAAAATGTATTGTTCCTGTTTTTAAATTCATAGATAATACCAAATTAGATTTCAAAGATATTTTGACCACTGAACTAAGAAGCAATATGAAAGTTACTTAGAAGCAATATATTATTCAGGAAAAAAAAACTCTCATTGAAAATGATTAAAAATGTATCAAGAGCCAAAACAAACATACATTTTTGCTCACTAGAATATATCCAAATGTGTCATTTCTACTTACTCATGATGCAGCGAGTCCAGTTGAATTTGTAGTAAATGAAAGGTACATATAAGAGAAGACCACCGACTATGAACATTGTGCAGTACAGGTATTCCCACTCAGGCTTTTCTATGATGGGAGCAAGAACCAGGTAACAGGACACAATCACCACCAGAACAGGGATGACTATCGGCACCTGAGAGAAACAAAAAGCAAACATTTTTATGTCGGGTAGCCATTTTACAATAGATTAACTGCTATATTAAAAAAAAAAAAAATACATTTTTTTCAGTTCTTTTAAAATATTTTAATTCTAGCTTCCTCTTGAAAGTTGCCTTTTGCACCACTGGGAATATTATCGGGTCATATCACGAATAGCTTTTAATGTTCGTAATTTTGAAAATGTGCAAGTTGCTTTGGATAATAGCATCTGCTAAATGATTACATATAAATGCAAATGCTGTGCAAAATGCAAAAGTTTAATTCATCCACATGATGAGGTGTCTTGTATGGTTTTGACCTGATCCCAGATCAATTTCATACATTTGTAGACATTTTTATGACGCATTTGTATAATAAAAGGGAAACGTTATAGTTATTAGTCTCTTATTGGCCTGATTGACCAAGCTCTCCATAAACAAAACAAGTCCTACAAATGAATAAAGTAACACATATTATACAGACACATCATATTCAATGGCATTAGATGATTTGTTAATTATTTTGTATTTTATTATTATTCTGTTCGTAAAAGGTTTTTATGCATGTTTGATCTAACTTTTCAGTGCATTTACAATGTTCTGACCAGCAGGTGTCCCCAGCGTGTGGCATTTTGAGCATTTCTAAATGGTGAAGAATTTTGTCAGGCAATGGGTTCATTTGATTCAAAGTTTCGAAAAGCTTTGTTTCTCTCATTAATAACCATGACGGTGACTGCATTCGAAACTGCATACTTTCCTACTATACAGCAGGCAAAAAACAGTATTTGAAAAGAGTAGTATGTCCAAATTCACGGTACTCATGAAAAAGTAGGTGGCAAAAAGTACCCAGATGACTTACTACTTCTAGCGACAATCTGAAGTGTGCATACAATGGACAAATTACTATCCCATGTGGCCATAGGAGAGGATTTGTGAGTGGCAGTGAAGCAACATAACTGACGCTAGTAGCTCACATGATAATGACAACGAATAGCATTCATACTACACATGTTCATAGTATATAGAACATACTTTTTTTAGCAGTTGCAGAGTAATTACTTATTCAAAAGAAATACCTGCTCAGGCGCAAACTGTGACTATGACTATAATGCACACTCACCACAGCAACGGCAGGAGACTGCAGAAGTTCAGTAGGGGTCATGACACTGAAATATGCAATGTTGACAAATATATAGCACACAATTACCAGGGGAATCCCAATAATTATTGCCAGGGGAAGGTTTCTGTTCAAAAAAGAGAGAACAACACAATAAGACTTCATGGCTAACACTGAAGCACATACTATATTTAATGGGGGAAACTTACATGCACATGTATACAGTTTTCATATGATTTAGAAAAATAGAATTAAAATGTCAAGTTTCATTTCACTCTGACCTGTACGGATTTTTCAGCTCTTCTGTTATGAAGTTAAGCTGATTCCTATGAAAAAGACAAAAGGACTTTTAAATGAATTGCCATAGCTGACTGAAGCTGACTTCTAGACTTGTGCATGCTTCTCTTTTAGAACAATAAAGCCCCTGGATTGAGAATGATCTGGTGAAAGTCCAGGCAACTGAAAAAAAGATCCTACTGCATTGAAGTTTCGAAAAGCATTCAATTCCCTTTTCCCATTTCCCATTTCCTCACATGTGCTGAAAATCCACTCTTATCAGATGTTTAACAGAGAAATCATTAGATAGTGTGAATGATTCCCAGGGCTGAAAGCACACTAGAATGTTGACTCGGAAGAAACCGTATGTGTATTAAACGTTACAAAAAGATTGAACACTGCTGCTTAACATTAGCCTCTTATGCCACATGTGCAACATTACATGAGCTCATCAATAATTTACCATCCATCATAAGCCCATAGTCCGTTGTAAAATGCAAGGCCAATTGCTCCAAATGATGTTGTTGCGCCTGCAAATGGGTCTTTGAGATTCTTTTCCTTGGTTGTGGGAACTAGTGATGTTTGCTTCTGAAACACTGCTTTGTGAAGCTTCGAAACCTTTGTGAATCGTTTGTTTTGAACCAGTGATTTGGGGCGAGTATAAAAATGCCAGTCATGTGATTTCAGTAACAGAGGCTATTTCAAAATGTTTCGAAATTTCAATGGTGCCCTGCTAAGGGTCCATGAAACAGTGTCTTGTGTATTAAACGTTACAAAAAGATTGAACACTGCTGCTTAACATTAGCCTCTTATGCCACATGTGCAACATTACATGAGCTCATCAATAATTTACCATCCATCATAAGCCCATAGTCCGTTGTAAAATGCAAGGCCAATTGCTCCAAATGATGTTGTTGCGCCTGCAAATGGGTCTTTGAGATTCTGGGTATTGCCTAAAAAACAATTATAACAATAAAAAGATAAATTTTATTGATCTTCCATTGAACATTTACAGAGGTCATCTTATCTAAACGCATCTACAGTAATCTCTGGCCATAGTCTAAGATGAGTTATCCATCATAAGCCCATAGTCCGTTGTAAAATGCAAGGCCAATTGCTCCAAATGATGTTGTTGCGCCTGCAAATGGGTCTTTGAGATTCTGGGTATTGCCTAAAAAACAATTATAACAATAAAAAGATAAATTTGATTGATCTTCCATTGAACATTTACAGAGGTCATCTTATCTAAACGCATCTACAGTAATCTCTGGCCATAGTCTACGATGAGTCATCTTTCACAACATAATAAAAAAATTATTTCTTTATCTGTATCAAAACATATTTGATCTCAGTCCGTTTAACTGAATACTAAAATACTAATGTTCTATTTAGTGTCACGTAAGTCAGGTGTCAATAAAAATTAATATCACATAAGATAAGAGTCACAAAGATGGAAGAGATACTAGATCATTGAGATATCAGATTGGGTAAAAGAGGTACCTTGAGCCAGCAGAACGATGCCTGAAACCACGATGATGACAATAATCAAGAGTTTGGCTACTGTGAAAAAGTTCTGCACTCTGTAGGCCAGCTTCACACTCAGACAGTTGATGACTGTAATTATTACTGAAGGAGAGAACAGACAACAGCTGAGTCCAGTATAACGTCATTTGAATATAAAAAGAGCCTAGACCTGTACATACAGATACAAGCTGCAGCCAGGCACTTGGTGACCACTTGAGGAGGAGTGCACCCTGGGTAAAACGGTGTGGAGGCGTATTCGGCACAACTCAGGGCGATGATGGCAAATGACGAAGGCTTTAACACGACGATCGTGCTCCAGGAATATAGGTATGCCAGCAATGGCCCAAAACCCTCCATCAGGTACGGATACTCTCCACCAGACTTCATGATCATTGTGCCTAGTTCAGCATAGCAGAGGGCCCCTGCACACACATGCACATGCAAACCTCTTAGTTTCTCAGTGTTCAAGCTGAGGTCAATGAGTCCGTTACCAAAAGGTCTAGTAGTTTAGTACAAGTCAGTATTAAACTAAAAAGGATTTCGGTGTTTTGTGAATTTTCCCGAACATTATGTGACTTAAAACGTCCGACTGAGGGTTTCTGAGTGAGTGAACATATCTGATTAACCTCCTTGACTTTGCCCAACTATAATCTCAGCAGAAAGTGCAGGATAAAATAAAGATTTAGATTTAGATATTTGGAACACATAATGCAGTAAAACAACAGCTGCAAGGATGGAGCAAAAAAGGTTCAGTACACTAACATTATTTAATGCATCTGGCATAATAAAATAACAATCTTGCTTAATGTTAATTTTAAAAAATACTACTTAAAATTCTACTTAAAATTTCAACTGTCATAAATTAATTAGCATGTATTATGAACAAAAATGAATTGACATTGAACAGCAGTGTACTTGAAAATTAACCTAAATACATGCTGTAAAAATACTGTTCATTGTTTCTGATATCCAATGCACTTACTATTGTTAATGAAAGGAACCTTATCGTAAAGTGTTAGCAATAAAATATAGCACCAATTAATAAAACAGCAACCTTTGGACATAAATGACATTATACTGGATTAGAAAAAGATTGTATTTTGCTTTAAGAAACAGTGAATCTTATTGTTACATCATATGGAGAGATTATCAAACAGCCAAAACAAATATGACACGATACACGAGGTGACAATGCTTAATCTCACCCATTTATCTTAGTTATGAGGGCTTATCATCAAGGCTTTTGTGCAACCTTATAGATAATGTGTCTGTTGTGCATATACTGACCCATCGTAGCCAGCACTCCACACGCCGCCCACACACACAGACATGGACCCACTGCTCCAGTCCCCTCCAGAACTGCTTTGGGAGAAATGAAGATCCCCGAGCCGATCATTGTTCCCACTATCAGACAGATGCCACTTAAGAGACCCACCTGAGACATTCAAGTTAAAGGGTGTTGGTTTCATTGATAATGTATAGTAACTGAATTATTGTGATATTAAAATTAGGGATGCATGACATATCGATACCACATACGATTTTTAATGTGAGGTTTTTTTACTTTAGTGATATTTGTTGGATATATCATTTTAAATGTTAATTTAATCTATTTTATACCTTCAGGTTAGCTTTGCCATTAAAGTTAATCTTTAAAAATGACATTCTTTGACACAAAACAGTATTATTTATGAAATTATAGTGAATTTGGGCATCCGCTATGACACTCGCTATGAGAAATACTGCAAGTGGAGTGATACAAACGGTAAAATGGTTAAGAATTTTGTGAATTTTTTGAATGAAAGATCAAAAAGATAAATTATGCAGATTTATTTTCACAGCCGCCTTTGCTCATATTTACCAAGGGTGCCAATATTAGTGGGCAGCACTGTATATATATATATAAGATTAAAAAAAGGATTCAGTTTTGTGCTAGTCTGATGAGATCCTCCCAGTGTCCATCCTGTCGTTGTTGTTGACATATCAAGAAAGGTTAACGGATTGTCCACAAAGGCAGTCTTCCTCTGCACCGTGTACACTCAGTCTTTCCAATCATGACATCCTTTTCTAGTTATAATACATTATGTTATAATGTTATGTCTAAATTCATTTGTAACATTTAAACTGATTGATTTTAGTTTTTAGTGTTTATTTTATATATAATTGCCATTTAATTGGTTATCAACAGTGACAAATAATAATTCAACATATCAACCAGAATAAAGAGAAAGGAAAAATTTAAATCGCATCATATGACCCCTTTAATATCTGTGCATTCCTAATTCAATGCTCTACATGGTCTCAATACACTTTTATTAAAGGTGGAATGAAGCTTGAAGCTGCCTGTTTTTTATGAATATAAGCTAAAGCTATTTGTAGTAATATGACCTTCCGTGTCCTTATTCATGCAAATTTACATATTAACAGAGGCGGACAAAGTACTCAACTCCATTACTTGAGTGCAATATTTGTCTTTCAAATGTAGTGAAGTTAAAGTCATAAGTTCCCAGAAAAAATAATACTCAAGTAAAGTACAGATACTCAAAAAGTGTACTTAAGTACAATACTCAAGTAAATGTACTTAGTTACTGTCCGCCTCTGCATATAAATAGTCAAACTAGTCATTAGTGGGAGTCATAAAACAATATACAGACAGACGGGTCAGGAAGGGGAGAGATTACACTGCAGTGATGGTGACAGGCACTGCCAGGCTGACCCACAGTTAAACCCTTCATACACCCATATGCACCGTGTCTGGATAGAAACCAATGATCATGCAACATTCTTCCCATTCTTATGTGTGCTCATAACGAGTACGATTCTCTTTCTCTCATACTCACATTCTTCTGCAGAACTGCTGCTTTTGGCTGATCGGGCTTTTTGGCATCCAAAGCCCCTGAGAGGCTCCCATTGTGAGGGTTCGTCTTTTTCAGATCTTCATCCATCGTTCACAGGATCAACAGTCCAGTCTTAATTTTGTGCAGTCAGACTGAATAAATACAGACAAAAATATAGTACACTTTTTTACTATAAACATTATTACGCATATTACAATCAATTGGAAAATAGTTAATTTTTAACAACCAAGCCTGAACCTGATCTAAAAGACTTGATGGAAATCTAACAAGGAGAAACACTTTTATTCTTAGTTTCTGTTGTTTTGATGTCTTGATGTCCTGATTACTTCAAGCAGCCTAAAGGCCAAGTTAAAGGTTAAAGACATTATAGTGTTTTAAGTGTTGCTAATGTGTGTCAAGATGTTATGGGCTCTCTGACAGATCTATTTATTCATACACAATAACATCTGCTTCACATGCACTTCAACTCAAATCAGTTTGTCTCCTAGCAACTACAGTACAATAGCCAAAGGTTCAGTTTATACTACAGTCAGGAAGCACTGACTAGAATCGACTGCAAAAAAACCTGAGAATTATAACACATACATAATGTAGAATACATAATATTACAATTCTACTGTAAACTCAATAGAAGAGTTCACATATATATTTTGTTAATTAAGCTTATTTTAAAAATCCATTTATTTGTGCATCAGGTACTGTGCTAATCAAGTAAACCAAAGACTTTATCTCAAAGAATCTGTTATCTGTTAATCTGAAATTATTGTATGTCCTCTACAATTAAGACACTGAGGTTGATGTCCACAAGTGGCTACTGATGCTAAACCTACTGAAAATAAACAGCATGAGTAAATTAAATAGGTTGATGAAAATGATTTGGAGACAGATACATTCATGCAGCCATTATCTGGATGGTCCATTATGTAGACCTGTAAATACTCTCACTTACCTTAAAGATTTACAGTATAAACAAACACAAATCAATACGTCAGTTAAGATGACTGTTTCCTTTTTTGTCAAACGTTTATCATGCTTGTAAAAATACTTTTCATAACTGACAAGAACTATCACATTATCAATAACTTCGCTACAATATTGTAACAAAAATAAGGTACTGAATATTTTCTAAATGCATTTTTTTCAGGTGCAGTTAGCAACACAAACTATAGGTTAACTCAAGCTTACTTTCAGTGCCACCAATTCCACCATCACATGACAATCATGTTTAACTTGAGGCATGAGGCGAAAGACAAACCTGCAATGCAATCAGTTTTTCCAGCAGATATCCCAAGTTTTGATCCATTTCCAAATTCATGTATTTAATAACCAACAAAAGTGGGTGGGACTTTCGATGTTCAGTCATTCTCCAGGCTGACCGTGACTGAAGCAAACACGTGATAAGAAGGAGGAGAGGGACCAGGATTGGCTAGAGGTGAGCAGACTCTGACCAACACAATACTCCTTTGAAAGAGACACTTGATATGGTTTGGTTGGAAAGAGGGGGTGACAGCATAAACCCAAGGACAGAACAGAACAGAACAGAACCGTCTCAGATCAAAGCACTATCAATACAGCTCAATACAAGCCAGTGCTCAAATACATACAGGCCTGTAAATAATTAAAGCAGTGCAAGCCCCGTGATCTCCAATATAAACACCATATATGTTATACAGTCAAGAGCTTTCCTGACTGATGTACTCGTCTCTGCTGGCTCTCCATTTTATTTGTCGAGTTCAAAAGCTGGCCAATGAGCGTGGTTAACTCTGAAGTCAGAACACAGTGTATCTCTACACAGAGTCTACAAAGAAAACCAGGCATTAAATAGCTTGCTGCTAAATTATTGTTATACATAAAAATGACTTGATATGAACTTCAAGAATTTAGGATTTAAAAAAGTACTTTCTCATCTAACTTTTGCTGGCAATTTACAGCATTTATTAATCTAGTTTAATGTTAATTTACAAATGTACTATTGATCATTGTTATTCATGTTTGTTCACACTACATTCTGAAATATTCAATTCTTCAACTTGAATTACTACTGTATTTGTATATGTAGAAATGAACATTAATGTAGATTAGTAAATAGAATGTTGTTCAGTGTTCGTGATAGCTAATACATAACATATTACCATAACATAATGTTGATGTACAGAACCGTATTGCAAAGTTTTTCCATGTAATTACAGCACAGCTCTAACTTGCTGTTATTATGTAACTACCCCAGTGTTTCAACAATTCCTAATCTCCACATACTGCAAATGATATAAACACTACATGATACACACCAATAAAACCCCAACACAAACTACTATTGACAAGATGAGTAAGTTTCAGTTTTCTTAGAGAGCTTTTCCTATATTGTTATTAACACATTACACATTACACTCAGAAACTGTGATTTTCGCTCACAACTCCCTGTACCTTACCATAACTATATATAATACCAGACAAGTGAGGTTCAGAGATTTTTCACTCAAATCTCCCCCAAATATCCACTATTTAATTTCCCTTTATATAGCTGTCATTTGGCTTTATCTGAGACTGAGACAAACAGCATCACTGCTCTCATTGCCAATCTTCAGATTGTTAACCATGAAATAACCTTAAAATAAATCTGCCTGAGGTTTATAATAGATATTAAGCAAAGTGAGAATGTCACGGCTGAAAGACACCACAGTATTGATCTACTTTGTCCAGAAAGCACCATTATTCTTGTACTTCTATTCAGTTTTCATTATATGAATTCATTGAGGAACATCCAGGGACATGCAAACCTGTGGCAAACACTGTTAGATATAAAACTATATGAATATTTCAACAGTGCACTCTTTACATGGTTCCTTACCTTTAGATGGGCTCCACTTCTTATCCCAAACTCAGATTTGAATCTCCAAGCGATAACAGCAGAGATTACACACACACACACACACACACATTCTAGTTGGCATCTGAACAGCTAACAATTAACCCGACTCGGTCACAGATGACTGGCTGTGCACATCCCTCCTTCACGTGCAACACAGAGGAACATCTCAGAGGGACTTCATGTTTATGTAACTCATTCTCCATCTGATCAATGAACATTTAGAGAGAAAATAATCAATATTAAATAAACATTTCTACTGTACCAAACTATTTCATTAACTTTAATTCATTCTATATGAGTATATGAGCTACATAAAAGCATTTGGTTTAAAATGTATATGTTCTGCAAATGTTTATTGTCTTCATGAAGTGACCCATGACCATGTTTTATTGTTTTATTTTGTTTCAGAATTGGAGCGGTTCAAGTTAAAGTTACCAGTAAGATTTGACTAAAATCAATGGTTGACAAATGCGGTGTGTTATCCTAAAGCCCGTAATTGTGGATCAAAATTAAATGATTAGAAAGACGCTATATGAAAGAAAATCCCTCATTTATATTTATTATGTCTGCACAGTAATAAATTTAAACTGGAAATCTAAATCAGCCTATTTATTCTTTTAATGTACATTGTTGGTCTTGTGCACAATTAATTGGAAAATATTTTTGTTCATAATCTTTTTGTTCAAAATCAGGGTTAAGAAACCGTTCAAGGAATAAAAAGTAATTTTTCATTGATTTAATTATTATCAGTAACTTGGCACAGCATGTCTTGTGATCAACATTAAGGTACAAACCTTGATAAAACAGACTGCAATGTTCTGACCCAAAGGCCAATGAAGATGAGGAGTATGTCTCTAAAAGTGGAAGTCCGCTGCTCAGCTGTCATTGTTATATAATTGCCCCATATCTGAAACACAAAATACACTGCTATCAGTTCTTCTGTTTTATTAGAACGTGCTGATTTCCTAAAGAGTACCATAAGACTTTTTGGTTCTGTAAATTACACTGTAGTAGAATTAAATCTTCCCTTTTTGTTGTTAGCCTCAGTTTTTAGTTTTTAACGTTCTGTATGAGAAAAATATGTGTGGTCTAAAAAAAACCCTCAGCACAACAGAGAACAGTCAATAGAAAGGGCCCACTGTAATAGAAAAATAGTACAATATGTATTTCAATAAGCCATAATTATGAATACATAGACTTGTTTAGTTAAATGTTTTAAGCATAGTTATAAGTATTAAGCATAAGCCAGATAAGTTATTTTATTTTCAAATTGAATCCTTAAATTTGTAAATCACTTTAACATATATGTGACCCTGGAGCACAAAACCAGTCTTAAGTCGCTGGGGTATATTTGTAGCAATAGCCAAAAATACATTGTATGGGTCAAAATTATTGATTTTTTTTATGCCAAAAATCATTAGGATGATGCTCACTATCAGGCAGATAGTATCTCAAATCCAGTCCGAGGACTGGTTTGTTACGATAGATCTCAAAGACGCTTATTTCCATGTTTCCATCCTCCCTCAACACTGGAAGTTCCTAAGGTTTGCTTTCGGGGGCGAAGCATACCAATATCGAGTTCTTCCCTTCGGCCTGTCACTCTCACCCCGCACTTTCACGAAGTGTGTGGATGCAGCTCTGGCTCCTTTGCGACTCCAGGGCATCCGCATACTCAATTATATCGACGATTGGTTAATACTAGCTCAATCGGAGCAGATGGCGGCTCGGCATCGAGATGTCGTCCTTGCCCATATGAGAGAGCTGGGGTTAAGACTAAACGCCAAGAAGAGTGTTCTTTCTCCACTACAGAGAACCACTTATTAATCCTCACGACAGTCACGAGAGTAAGAGAGGGCCAGTCACTCACTGTCAAACAGTTTCAAAGGCTGTTGGGCCTGATGGCAGCAGCGTCCACCGTGATACCTTTTGGCCTGCTGTACATGAGACCCTTGCAGTGGTGGCTCAGAACCAAGGGATTTTCCCCGAGGGGGAATCCGCTTCGCATGATCAAGGTCACGAAGTGGATCTATTTGCGTCACAGGAAACGACAAACTGTCCGCTCTGGTTCTCCCTCACACATCCAGCTCCACTGAGGCTGGGTGCGATGGTGCAGACGTGACCGAGGCTTCGCCTGTACGCTTTTCCCCCGATCGCTCTGCTCCCGGGAGTTCTGGAGAGAGTACGCCGGGATGGGGTCCGTCTGTTGCTAGTAGCCCCGTTCTGGCCGGCCCGAGTATGGTTCTCGGAC